GGGGGGCGGTATCTTGAGATGTAAAACATTTTATTCCAAATCCTAAACCAGATCCATGTGCCTTTACGCGTCCTATGTTCATATGTACTGTCAAGCTCACCCGTGGAAAGGCCTGGTGGAGGCTATCGGTCTCTTTGACAGAGCACCACATACATTACACCGATGTCATTTCTGCTTTCTTGGATTCCCCGTACGCACTGCATGCAGGCCCTCCTAACATGGTATCCCACCAGTCTATCGTGGTTGGGGCGAGGTTTTCTTCGGGGCTACAAGAGCTCTTTCCCGCCTGACTGAGCTAGGTTCCCCCGGTAGGTTTTTCATAGCGGGAGTTTGATTTAGGCCGTTTGATTTAGGGAGTTTGATTAGTCAAACTCCTACCGGGCGCTCTGTTGTCAGTGGGCGGGGGAAAACTACAAAAGCCCGAAGACAGCCTGCCCCAACCACGATAGCCTGGATACCAGGTTAAGTCCCTCCCGCACGTGCTCATGTATAAACTTACACAGATGATTAGCCACCTCCTGACGTGAGAGTGGAAGAACTGGAAAATCTACATGTTTCACGGGTAACCTCTGACCCTAGAAACCTTCGACCCCTGAACAATGTGGAAACCTGTCTCATACGTTACTACGAGATCCCTGACAGGTACACCGGTTTTTGCACCCAGGCAACAAAGTTTAAAATAACAGCTGTTCAACACAGGCTGAAAACGGACGATCTTTTTAGGATAACACTTGTAGCAGCTGAGTAGTGCAGCACAACACCTGTAACTTGACGTAAACAACCGGTAAGTTTTTGTTGTTTTTTTTCGAGAAGTTTTAGTGACATACTCGGAAGTTAGCCTGGTGTCAAGTCTATCGTGGTTAGGGCTGATTTTCTTCGGGGCTGCAGGAGCTCTTCCCCGCCCGACTCAGCTAGGTTCCCCGGTAGGTTTTTTCACGACGGGAGTTGTCCTACGTACAGACGTAACACTCCTACCGGACGGTCTGTTGAGGCTGAATGGGGAGAAGACTCTTGGAGCCCCGAAGACAGCCTGCCCCGACCACGATTGACTGGGTATTAGGCTAGGAAGTGTCAATGTAGCCAAATAGTATCTCCCTAACTAGTAACCATTCACGTGTAAGAATTTGTTCATTCGTAGGTTCTTGTTGTTGTACTTTTGCTAACCAGTGCTTGATCTGAATGTGTTCCCACCCGAAGCTAATGCAGGTGACAATACTCGTCCTTGAGACAAATTAGTAGTCTTAAAGGCACCCAAATGATTTCAGGGCAGATAAAGGGCATTTTTTGTCATTTTTAAATGTAGTATAAGTGAGCTCAACAGTGAGTGAGTGAGTGAGTGAGTGAGTGAGTGAGTGAGTGAGTGAGTGAGTGAGTGAGTGAGTGAGTGAGTGAGTGAGAGTGAGTGAGTGAGAGTGAGTGAGTAAGTGAGAAAGTGAGTGAGTAAGTGAGAGAGTGAGTGAGTAAGTGAGAGAGTGAGAGAGTGAGTGAGTGAGAGTGAGTGAGTGAGAGAGTGAGTAAGTGAGAGAGTGAGAGAGTGAGTGAGTGAGTGAGTGAGTGAGAGTGAGTGAGTGAGTATAAGTTGAATCAGCCATATACCACAACATACCAATGCCTGTGTGAGGCTGCTTCTAGATGTTTATTGGTGGTACCAAAAAATAAAGGGCATTCCCACGTAGCTTGTTTTGGGGGGCTATTGCAAACGCCTTAAGTATGAAATGAAGAAAGTGTGTTAAGAAATTAAATGGCAATATCAGATAGAATATTTTTTGCTTTGCTGCTCTGAAATTGCATTGGATAACTTTAAATTACAAAAGGACATAGCCGTTCAACGACCTCTTTAATTAACTGGCCTTGGTTGTCAAAAAACTCGTGTATCTTGTAGTTTATCTTATGTGCAATCTAAAGGGACACGAGTGGTAGCAAGGTCCCTTCAGGGGAACAGGCGCCAATTTACTATCAGTAGTGCCAGTTTGTCAAGATGACTGACCGCTTCAAGGTCCACTATAGGCCGGGTCCTCAGATATGGTCCACTGACCACTAAAATTTAGGCTGGGACAACTAAAAGACACGTTGGGACATTTTTGGGATAATACAAATAGTAATCAACATTACAATGTCAGCCCTTCTTTTGTTTATCAGGCACACGTCCCGGCTTTTGGATCTGGAAAAGTCCCCCGAAGTTTCCTTTACTCTGCAATTATAGTGCGCATGGGAGTCAGAATGTAAGCAAAATAAAGTTGACTTCAAGTTGAAACTTAAAAAAAAAACAGTTGGGAAAGTTCATCCTCACTTCGGGACAATTTAAAAATTTATTTTTGGGACAGTGCTGGGACAGTAGGAAGAAAAGTTAATTTTGAGGCCTGTATGTGACAATACCTTGTTGATGACGTAATGTTTCCAGTTGTTTTACGTCCAGCTATGCAGCTGTGTTACTTCCAGTGTGCTAGTCAAATGTCGTGTTACTAACGTAGCATATAATAATTTCGGACCCCTCTTAAGCTTCCAGTATGTTATAGTGCAAGCTCGAATTCGAAGTTTGTTCACCTCACCACTGATACATTCAATATCGGACGCAAGAAATTATGCTATTCCTTCATCAACAGATGAACAGCACAACAGATTGCACAGCAAAACAAGAGTTCTGAGATCTCATACCTCCATGAAATATGGGCTTGTTTTGTCATACTTCATTTCAACATGTCCTCATTAATTATGCAAATAACCTCTACATTAACATAATATACGCATAGTGGTGCTAACCTTTAAGTAACTTACACATGTCACGAGGTATAAATTCCCATCATTCACCAATAAGGAGTCACAAAATTTTTACATTCATTATGCAAATTAGGCCATCATTTGCATAATTGGAATCTGTTGATGTTCCGCATGCCACAGATTAAATAGATTACATGTATAGCAGTTCCATTATATAAAACACTGTAATTATAGAATTTCCTCATCAATTATGCAAATTGAGTCCGCATTTGCATAATTTGCATTTAATTATGTACAACTCGCTCTCTGGTACCTACACACCAAAATGATGAAAATACGTTGTTACAATCTGGACTTATTGGCTTTGAAAGTTTTTACCAGAAACTAATCTGCAGTTCCAGAACAAGCTGCTAGGGGGACCAAACTTACACCACTTATTTCTGACAGGATAATCTATCTGTCACCAAAAGGTCAAGACAATAGCTTGTTCAGGACAAAAGATACAAAAACCGGAAGTTCTGCTGCAGTACCAAGGTCATCCACCAGGAGCCCCATACTTGACCTTGACCTTCGTCTTCCTTAGACTTACCATCATACCAAATATCATCACAATCCATAAAGGCGTTCTGAAGTTATGCTGACTACAAATGTGCGGAAACGCAAACACACAGACAGACACACAGACAGGGACAGACAGGCCAAAAACAATGCCTCCATTTTAATGGAGGTAATAACAGTCTGTATTACAATGTGCCTAGAAGTCTTACTCCAACTTCAGAAATGTTTTAACGTGTATAAATTGTTGTTTTATAGTTGATTTATGTTACGGCTGTTTTACGGTGACATACTAGAAACAAAGAAATTCAATTCGATTTGTATTTCTTTTTCAGACAAAACATGTGCGTTCTGACTTGAGGCTATGCACTGACGCCACCATGGGTCTGTGATTGTTGAACTGAGCGTAAAATCACGTGTAGCCCCGGGCGCCACATGCACTCACCTTCATACGGCGTTCCATTCACCGTTTGTCAGTTGTTCAACCTCGGAGAAAAGCGATGAACCAGAATTAACCGTTAGAGATAGCCCTCGGCGGACGAGTGGTAACATATCGTCAGACTGTGGGGGGAAAGTCCACGACAACGACACAAGTGCTAAACGTTGTGTCAGCAGACAACATGCAGGCTAGGCTAACCGCAGCAACACATTGGAATGACGAAGAAGAAGAGGAACGAAGAGATCCAGTGACCAAGAACAACGATTCAAAGTGTAAGTACATAATTTAATTGAAGGTCAACCCAAAACAACAACATTTAAGACCATATGGTAGCTCGCCATAAGGATAAGGGTTCACCAAATGATATATAAACCACCTTGGAGTTCATCTGTAATTTGGTAGTTAGGTGAGAGATCTTCGATGTGTTGGTTGGATCTGAAGTTTTAACTTTAAACAGATATATTAGCCACGTAGTACCTGGCTTCGGCTAAGTATATGTCATGAAACAGTAATTATGATTGGTGCAATGTTTTTGATTTTATCCAATAGGAATGTATGTCCCTTGTGCAATGGAAAAGTTTACTCATTTTTTGTGGTAATCTTTCATAGGCCGGTTTTAGTTGTTACAGCAATGATACTGCTATAATAGCATTATGAAGCGTCGTATAAATCGAATGGACTGGAAGGATAGTGTCTTTCTCAGGGTCACGAGCACAACGTATAGCCTGGCCGGATGCCAGGGATCGAACCCAGGACCTCTCAGAGTAGTACACCTCACGTTTGCTAGCCTAGACACTCAGCCATTCTTTTTTTACATTCCAACATGTACATTTCATGACTAGACATGGTGACGGCACACTCACTGAGTTATATCAACTCATTTGATGCCGTCACCAACGCATAGGACAAATACAGGACAAGACAATACTCATTTTCACTTGAGTTAACTTGTGAGGAAAGTCGTGTAAAGCAGCCTTTCCTAAGGGCACAAGGTTAGTGACATGCCATTGTCAGGACTCGAACCCGGGACCTCTAATAATCTTGGTTCCGAGTCGAGCACTACTCTGCCGTTACGCCACATTACCACACTGTGGCGTTCTTGGCCATTCGACATCAGTTGTCATTCGAAAATTCAGCCCACATAGCAAAAGGAATTTCATCTAGATCTTGTCCGATTTTTACCTCACAAAAGATTCGACGTTGTCATTTTCCGTGACCTGAGCGATGATAGGAGCGACACAAAAGATGTCTCTAAACAAAAACAAACACATCGACGCTGACCTTTGGAAGTGCTTGAGGCGTTTGTCCAGTGTTTGCTTATTTGGTGGGCGGTTCACACGTGTGATTATTTCAGCATTGTGTGACAAAATACAAAACAAAGACACATGAGACAAAACAACACACGCACAGACATGTCAAGCTAGCTATATTGCGGCTGAAAATCAGTGTATTTATCATAATCTGTCCTGTTTTGGAGAGCTTTTAGTTTATTTATATGCATGAGAAGTACACTTATTGTCCAAGGTCAGCCGGTTCTTTTTCAAGGTCAGTAATTCGAGTAATTCAGGTCCTTTGGCCAGGAATGCCTGGGTAAAGCCCTGTCTCACAGTTAAATATGTCCCACCGAAAATTGCCGATCTCTGCCCCAAGCATGGTTGGGAGTAGGTCGGGAGCACGGTGGTTGGTTGGCAAGGGCTCGAAATACCCATGTGCAATGTGCAAAATGTACATCATTTTCAAGATTTGCACCTAAAATATTTTGAATGTGGAATTTTTCATCTAGAGCAGGAGGGCGAGGGGGTGTTGCAGGCAAAGAAGCAAAAATTACTTGGAATTTCGTACTCCCAGCCCCAAGGACAGACATTTATTTCTGTTTTGTTACCCACTTTATCTAGTATTGTGTAATAATCTGTTAATCCTTAACAGATAATTACACAATACTAGATTAAGTGGATTACTGTTCTTTTCCTTGGCCTGAATAAAAAAAAAAGATACAGCAGACGTCACAATGTGCCACGGATTCATCATTTATACATTTATTTATTTATTCATATATTTATTCGTTTATTTATTTATTTATCTATCTATCTATCTATCTATCTATCTATCTATCTATCTATCTATCTATCTATCTACTTAATAAAAAATATTCATCTATTTCATTTATCAATATATATATATGTTTATTAATGTATTTTTGTTATTATTAATGTTTATTCATCCACCTATTTATTTGTTTATTCCTTTATCCATTTATTTATCTATCTATTCATTAATCTGTTTATTTGTTTATTTATTTACCTATTTATTTATTCATTTATCTATTCATCTATTTATTAATCCAGTTTTTGTCTATTCATCTATGTATTTATTTATTTTTATTTATCCATTTATTTATTTATTTATCTATCGATTTATTAATCTAGTTATTTGTTTGTTTATTAATCTATCTACCTATTCATATATTGGTTTATTCATCTATCCATTTATTTATTTATTAATCTATTTGTTTATTCATTTATCCGTTTATTGATTTATATTTGTAATAATTTATTTATTTGTTTACTTTGGCACTAGTAAAATCCCTGTCCAGTGCCCTACGGACGGGGTGGTCACGCCGGTCCAGCCTGCGGCGGAGACGGTCCCCTGAGCAGGCGGGAGTAGCGAGCCTCCTGCCGCAGATCGTCACGCACGGGCTGGCGGACCCCGGCAGGGCTGACCGCAGGGTCAGGATCAACGTCAGCGGGATGAAGTTCGACACCAGGGAGAGAGTGCTTCTCAGGTAGGAGACCACGTAAACACGTTATGTAATAAAGGGTTAATGACCCGACCCGACGTGTATATGGTGAGATAATCCCTGTTCGGGTGCGATTTATACCTTTTTAATTGTGCTGTATTTAAAAAAAATATTCAAAATGAATTACAACACGTTTTTAATAGATAAATACTACCAAGTCTTAACACTAGTGTTAGTGTCCTGTCCCCTGTACAATGGTACGGTCCAAAAAGTGGGCGGTCATCTGAATAACCGCCTACTTTTTAGGTTTTGGCCTGATAACCCATGGGAAATGGAGCCTTCTGATTGGTCGACGGCTGCTGGCTATATGATAATTTAGCATTAAAGTTTATCTGTGTTGGTACAAGTCATTTTGTACCAAAGACTGAACTTTAACTGCCAACACTACAATGAATGGGGACTTACCCCAATTTTCGGCTGACTCCGTCAACCTTGTTCACGGAATGGACCCGTCTACATCAGACCTACACTGAACAGA